AAGGAGAATTAACCTTCCACCTAGAGTATCAAGTCTCCCAGAAAATAGAAGAGCATTCCAGTAATTATTTTAAGGTGAATTTTAATCTCCCTCTCAAGTTCCCAGAAATTACTTTATTCACTTTTCTACCATTATGGAATCTCCACTGTTCTGCACTATAGCAAACCAAGGGTGATGAAGACCTATGAGAGTACAATGGATTGGCTCCACAAATACAGTATTACTTGCTACATTTTAGATCAGAGTGGCACTTTTATTTACTTTGGTGTTTATATGTTTGGTTTTATTTATTTTTAAATATATAAATTTTTTTATTGAGTTCAGAGAGAAAGGGAGAAGGAGAGAGCGATAAGAACATCAGTGGTGAGAGAGAATCATTAATTGGCTGCCTCCTGCACGCTCCTCACTGGGATCGAGCCTGCAACCCAGACATGTGCTCTGACTGGGAATCCAACTGTGACCTCCTGGTTCATAGGTTGATGCTCAACCACTGAGCCACTCCAGTTGGGCTATTCCCTGTACTTGACAAGGTGGTTTTAAATTCAGCTGTAGAAATCAAGCAATCCATCCCTTCCTCTTTAGAAACAGCACCCTATTTAGAGCATTATGGTTGTAAGGCACACTTTAATTAAACCCCACATCACTGAATGGCCACTACTGTAAAACCCTATACAGCAAGCGTGTCAAACTCAAAGGCTAACAAGGGCCAAATAAATGAGGCATGCGGCCCCCGAGTTCAACATGCTTGCTATGCAAGGTGCTGGGTGTGAGGGAGGGAGCTAGAGAAAGATGTACAAGACTCAACCTTTGCCCTTGAGGGGCTCACAACCACTCTTTATTCTTTAGACTTCTGTTTTTAGAAGATGAGGTATGAATGCTAAAGACAAATGTGGTAAGGAAAAAAATAAAGGGCCAAAGCTAGAGATAAATTCTGATGGAGGGCTTTGGGGCTGGCTTCCTGAGATGGTGGCAGCATTCCAGCTAGGCCTAAAAGATAGAAAAGATTTTATGATCAATGACTGGAGTAGAGAGAGGAAGCTTACCTTAAGTGGAAGGAACAGCAGAGCAAAGACTGGAAGTGGGGAAAGCACAGGACATGTGTGGATCCATGAAAATCATCTGGTTCCGCATGAGGATTGGATTTGTGATGGGGAATAGTGGGAGGAGCTAGAAAAACAAGTTGGAGCAAGATTGTAGAAGAAGTCCTGGAATGTCATGCTAGAATTGTAACTTTATGCTAGGCTATGGGAGCCCAATTAAGATTTTGATCAAGGGGACGATACGTTTACAGCCAGTAGTGTGAGTTTAATTCCTCTGTGTTGGCTAGCCCTGTGGAATTATGTCATTTATAGAGTGTGCGCTTGGAGATGCAATATAATTTAGTAGTCATACTAAGTCCTGAGTACAGTCAGATCTCAGTTCTCTAGCATCTCCCAACTCAAACAGTTTACTTCTCAGCCCAACAAGCACTTTCATGCTGATACCTGCATGATCAGTCATGAGTCTCTCAGGCAACAGAGGAGAGGATGCTCCAGTATGCGTCAGTTTACTGCTAAACCTTACATTGTTAACGTCTCGGGAAATTGTGCTGAGAATGTTTTCATGGTTTTTTTTTTTACTTTGGTTGCTGTTTATTTTTATTAAATTTTCCATTTTTACTGTACATTTCATTTCCTTTTTGTTAAATTTTCATTTACATTTCATGTACTTTTTGTTTTTAAAGTATGTATTTATAGATTAAACAGTGTATTAGACATGTATGTAAGAATGGTTAAAACAGGGAATCATTTGGGGGTCTGGAATGGATTAATTCAATTTACATTATTTTTAATGGGGAAAAATGATTCGGTTTTCAAACAGCCTTCCGGAATGAATTGAACCAAGGTTCCACTGTAAATGTATTTTTGAAACCTTAAATAACTGGTTCTCAACCTTATTATGGGTCAGAATTCACCTGATAAGTTGTTGCTGTTTATAAATACTAAGAGGGGGGCCTGCCCTCAGAGATTTTGATTACATTATGCCTATGTATCATCAGGATTTATTTAAAGTGCCCTGAGCTACTTATGAAAATAACTTTAAATAAAGGTAATTATAATATGAGGCCAGGTTTGGGAACCACTGCTTTAAAGTAAATAATAACTTCATTCCGTTTACTAGTTTTTTGGGATGAAAGATTCCCTGTACTTGACATGGCGGTGTGAATAGATCTAATAGTTTATGGCATAGACTTGAAACAACACTAGATGAATTTACTTTGTTGCTAAGTTTTATACAGGAACAAAAATGTAAGTGAATATTGTTGGCAAAATGACTATTGATCTGGAGCAGTGTTTCTTGGCAGTTTTGTATCACACTTACAGCGGGTTTAGTGCGAGCTTTTATAAATAACCCTAAAGCAAACTCTTGATAGAAACTGGCTATGCCTTTTTTATTTTCTTTCCCCTCCCCCAAATGGATGTCATTACTATAAAATGTGTTTTAGAATTAGCCTCTTCTTTCCTTGCTCTATCAGCAGTTTGCAATTTATAATTTATGGAATAATTTTTTTCCTCCAGTATGATTATATATATTCCGCAGTTGTAATACAAAATGTAGTTCAATGTTGGATGGTGTATAACTACTGCTGTGATGGTAATCCTGGGTGTTCAGTTTTTATCTAGAAATGTCTAGAGTCAGAAACTGCCACAGACCTTAAAATTGTCTTCCAACTATTTTATTCTCATCACTCTCTTTTTTTAAGTAAAAAAAATCCTCAGAGTCAGGAAGGGGCCAGACGTTGCCAGGCCACGTGACTCCTCAGACCTTGGGTTCCTCCTATAAACTAAGGGGATTAGATGAAATAATTTCTGAGGTTCCTTCAAGCTCTAGCATTTTATAACATTATTAGCAAAGAAACATTATGCAACTGGAAGAATAAAAAAAGATGATAGATTTTTAAAACCTAAAAACCCTACTTTTAAATGTCATTTTTACTCATCAACCTCTTCTGCTTATTGCCTAGTGTCTGAATTACAAGGCAATTTTTTTTAATGGTTTCAGAGTCACTCCTATCTTTCTCTTCTGAAAATAACCAATGTGGCCAAAATAGGGTATATAAATTAAGGGTGTTATAACTTAACTGACTTTTAAAGCTATTAATACTGACCTTTGAGACCTGGCTTTTTCCTTGGTCCCATCAATCACTTCTATACCACCTCCCCCAATACAAAGGATTAGACAGATGTGGATACAGTTTGTATTACTGGGGGGTTATAATAGTGGGGAAGAGGTAGGGGAAATGAAAAGAGTTTAGTTTTTATGTTTCATAGCGAGTATAGCTATACTTAATTTAAAGGTAAATAAATGTGTCAATGTATTCCTTTCCATATTTAGGTCATACTACTAGATATTACACTGGAACTTCAAAAGCAAATTATGTCTGAATTGGAAATTCTTTATAAGGTAATTTTTTCTTGGTCTTTTTTTTCTTATAAAGCATGCCTATGCTATTGGCTTGTAGGTTTTTAACTACTTTTGTCTTATTTTTGTTACAGTGTGATTCATCATATATCATAGGATTTTATGGTGCATTTTTTGTAGAAAACAGGATTTCAATATGTACAGAATTCATGGATGGTGAGTTTTCCCTTTTATAATATTTTAAACATTATTTTTGTGGGGTAGTGCTTTATAACCTGGTTTTGATATAAATGTCAAGTAGAATGAAAAATAATTAAAATATACTAATAATTACCTTTACACTCCCAAGGAAACATGTCAACTCACAGCCCATGGGCTGCACGTTTATGTTGCCACAGATTAAATAAGCGAATTAAAACAAAATAGCTGTTTAATTTGACCTGTGATTTTGCTCTCCTTCCCTTTAGTGGAGCATGTGCCACTCCAGCAAATAAATGAAGTCATCCATGACAGGTTGTGATGAATTGCCGTATTTATACTGTATATTTTAATAGCCTCACACTAATTTAAATTGAGCACAGAGTAAATTATAATTCAGTCACTTGACTGCTTATATTTAACTTGACAACTCATCCTTATTTGTCCTGGAGGTGTAGCGAAGAGCAGGGAAATGCACTCAGGTATTTCAGTTTCTCACTTAACCCTTTCTCCATGAAATGCTTCATGTTTCTCCAGTTTGCAAAATTTAGCTCTTCCTATGGAGAAAAATAGTAATAACAACAACAACAATAATAATAATAATAATAATAATAATAATAAAAACTCAGGGAGTCCATACTTTGTGTATACTTCAAACAGAAAATTAGTATTTCCATGCCTTTTCCCATTACCTTCAAATAAGGAATTGGACTTGTTTA